TATGTTAAGTCTACAGTGGTATGTCACTTGCATCTCTGTGTATTCCTTCATAATAATAATACTTAGAGAGAATTTAGTAGATGCAAGATGCAAGGCTGAGTTGACCCGGAGCCCTGTCTGGGATTGAACTCACAACCTTGTCAGTTTAGGCATCTAACTACTGCTCCACCAGGTCTGGTGTCTTTAGGGTATATTTGCCCATGTCTTAATGGTGTCCATGTGTGTGCGCGTAATAATTATTTCTATTATCCGTTACTCTAAAGCAGGGGTAGGCAACCTTTCCCCTTTAAGGGCCGAGGGACTTCAGCTCCCAGAAGCCTCAGCCATGTTGGCCAATAGTCCCATGTTGGCCAATAGCTCCTGGGATTCTGGGAGCTGAAGTCCCTCGGCCCTTAAAGGGGAAAGGTTGCCTACCCTTGCTCTAAAGCTCTGGAATATGAAATGATAAGAATCCTGTTGTAATTTGCAGAAGACGCGAAGACCAACACACTCGATTATGACATAACCTTTGTGTTCTAGAATTCTGTTCATGGGATGCACAAATGCTACCCTCACACTGGCAACCGAGAGTGTAACAACTACTCCAGGGTATCAGGGAGGAGAAGTAGATATTCACACAGCTCCAACTAGGGAGTGTGAGATTTTTTTTTAATCCGACAACATAGCTTCAACCTGTCCCTACTTTCAAAAAACAAGCACTTAGTGGCAGTGGCATCACTAGGGTTGGCGTCACCCAGTGCCATAACTCATGGTGTCACCCCCCCCGACCTCCTTCTATACCGCAGCATACAGAATCCTTAGTAGTGTTTTTTGGAGTTATATTACTCATAAATCATAATTGCAGTATATCACTGAATGGAATGGCAATCGTTGGGACTTAAAGTACAATCGCCCCTCCGTTCTTGCAGAATTGAAGTCCACGATTTTGCATATTCACGGAGGGGCAACCTCAGCTAAAATCAACGGGATGGTCCCCATTCAAGCCTATGGAGCTCAAAGATTGGCAAATCTCCATTTTTTCGGGGGGGGGGGATGTCCCCAGAACGGATCACCTACGAAAACGGAGGGCCAACTGTACTAGCAAAATTAAAATTATACCTGTAAATTACAACAGCACATGCACAGCCTAAATGTATTTACATGTACATAGTTTCATGTGGGTAAAGTGGTGTCACCAGGGTAACCAGATGTCCTCACCACAAAGGAGGACAAGGCACTGCAAAATGTAGGACATAAAGAAAAAGTAGGCCGGCCCAAACAAAAAGCTAAAAACATTCTTATAAATGGAAATCCATGCTTCTCAAGTCACATTCTTCATTCTGAGAAAGGCATTCAAGAAAAATGTAGGATTGCAAAATAAAAATTAAAACAATCATATAAATTCATGTTTCTCAGTCACGCTTAAAATAGATGACCATTCAAGAAAAATGTAGGGCGTTACAAAACAAAAAGTAAAAACACTAATATAGATATAAATCCATGCTTCTCAGTCACAGAAAAGAGGGCATTCAAGAAAAATGTAAGGCTTTATAAAATAAAAGCTAGAAAACACTCGTATAAATATAAATTCATGCCTTTCAGACATGCTCAAAATGGAGGAAATTCAAGAAAACATGGAGGACATTACCAAATAAAAGCTAAAAACTCTCATAGATATAAATCCATGTTTCTCAGCTGTGCTTGAAATGAAGGGCATTCAAGCAAAATGGAGGGCATTACAAAATGAAAGCAAAAAACACTCATATAGATAGATAGATGGATATTCATGCTTCCCAGTCATGCTCAAAATGGAGGACACTGAAGAAAAATGTAGGGCTTTACCAAATAAAAGCTAAAAAACACTCCTATAGATATAAATCTACGCTTCCCAGTCATTCTCAAAATGGAGGACACTCAAGAAAAAAAGTAGGGCATTACGAAATAAAAAGCTTTTTTAAAAAAACCACTCACATAAATATACATTCATGTTTCTTAGTCCTGCTCAAAATGGAGGACATTTTGGACATTTTTCAGAAAGCAGAAATGGAGGACCCATCCTAGAAAAGGAGGATTTCTGGCCAACACTCCCCCACACAGATTGC